TCCAGGTTATTTTTGGACAATATGGGCTTCAGTTTAGACAGCCGCCTCAGTTGGAAGAAACACGATTTAACAATCATGTTTACATGACTTCACAGCAACAGTCATTCTACACACAACCATCTGATACAGTCTGGTCACACTCTCCCCTGCCACAACCTTACAGTCTCCAATCTCCCTCAGGTTTCCTCTTCTACACAGAATGTAGTTGACCTGCGTACTCCTTCCTCCACTCTTACAGGTCACTCTATATTCCTCCCTCTTTTGGAAATACTGGTAAGTGTTGACTACAGCCATTTTCATTCTCTTGGCAAAATCCACCACCATCTGTCCTTCCTGGTTTCTGTCCTTAACACCAAACCTACCCACCACTTCCTCATCCTCTGTTTCCTTCACCAATATGTCCATTCAGGTCTGCTCTGATCACCACTCTCTCCTCCCTGGGAATACTCTCTATCACTTCATCCAGATCTTTCCAAAATGTATATTTCTCCTCCCCATCACATCCAACCTGTGGAGAATAACCACTGACAGCATTTAGCTTAAGACCTTCTACTTCTACCTTCAGACACATCACCCTATCTGAAACTCTTTTCACCTCTACTACATTCTTTGCCAACTCCTCCTTCAGGACCACCCCTACTCCATTTCTCTTTCTATCCACACCATGGTAAAACAGTTTGAACCCTGCTCCAATGCTGCGAGCCTTGCTGCCCTTCCACTTGGTCTCTTGGACACGTAAAACATCAACCTTCCTTCTCTGCATCATATCAGCCAGCTCTCTACCTTTGCCTGTCATTGTCCCCACATTTAGTGTTACAACCCTCAGTCCTACATTCTTCACTTTCTTCTTCTCCCTCTGTCTCCTGACACGTTTCCCTCCTCGTGGTCTTCGACTAACAGTAGCACAATTTCCGCCGGCACCATGTTTGTCAACAGCACCGGTGGCGGCCGTTGTTACCCTGGGCCTCGACCGATCCGGCATGGTGTTGCATTGATGAACTCACACATTAGTTTTGTTAAAGTGTTTTATGTTAGATGCCCTTCCTGACACAACCTTTACCATTTACCCAGCTTGGGACCGGCACAAGAGATACACTGGCTTGTGCTCCTTAGTGGTTGGTTTGATAGACTCTGGTTCCAAAAACCAAACTGTTCCTGCTGGCTTCTGTTCCCAACAAGTGAAAGGAGGGACACTTTGTCTATCAGTGGCAATCAATATGGTTAGAAACTATATTTCTCCAATCTTAGAAACTTAAGCTATTCAAGAAGTTATCAACAGTGGTTCCGATATCAAATATTTACAACTTTTCCACAGAAACCCTGTTTAACATGGCCAAAATGTTCGTTTTTATGTCATGGAGCCTACAGTATGTGGTATTTAGAATAATGAAAATGTAATGATTTGTCTGAACCACTGCATGATGTCCCTTGTGAGCCACCTCATCTCATTCCACTGAACATTATTTTCATCATTTATGATATGTGCCACCATTTAGTGGCATCATTCAGTCTGGCACCTTTGGCTCCAGAGATGCATCCAGTTTCTGATTGAAACAGAGTGCTTTGGGGGAGGCTTAAAAAGAAGTGATGGCATTGGCAACTGAAGGTGAGGCGTGCAGTGGGGGCGCAGACATTCAGACAGGCAATGAGCCAGAAGAGAATGAGGGGTGAAAAGGACAAAAGATAGAGCGGTGCATGCAAATTCCTATTCCTGCACTCTGCCCACAACCCTGTCAGCTGGAATGCTTTTTTTTTTTTTTTTTGGGGTGGGGGGGAGGGGGGGGGGGCGTGATAAGACAGGCTTATATGTGGGGAAAGTTGACGGTTGTTAATGTTCTGTGCTGGCAGGTCAGCGAGGACGTTTCTGAATCAAGTTAAAAATGGGTCATGTGTTAAATATTAAACATTCCTTAATAAATCATAACCAGACAGTTTTCAACTTTAACTTCAGGCTTTTCTTGGCTCCTGCATGCATGCACACACGCACGCACGCATGCACACACACACACACACACACACACACACACACACACACACACACACAGCTAAATCAGGCTTTCGATAATATCATATGAATGTGGGTCACCTAAAGCCTCCCTTACCCTTCACATTGTCCCATCAGAAGTGATGCCACTTAAAGCTAGTTTGTCACAATGCAAATAAAGCCTTGCAAGGACACACACACACAAACACACACACAAATACTCAATCTATTTCAGCTCAGCTATGACACACAAATGTCAGCTCTCTGAAGTATGACTCATAGATCCTGATTCAGTGGCTAGAACAGGGACACTACGTTTCAGGTGGCGTCCAATCAGATTGAAGCCTGAACAAGCAGAAACTACAAGACATAAAACCAAACCTGCTGCAGGGGGAACAATGTGGTTTTTGAAGTTGAAACCTCAGGGCATATCTACCCACCTGCAGTGGTGCAAAAAGCAAAATGAGTTCTAAGTAAGGAAAGCAGGGCACAAATTTGCACATTTGGTGTATCTGAAAGTGACAATTTCGAAGGCAGAATGTAAAACATCATGTGATTGCTCCCTTTAGACCAATATAAGCAGAGCTCCTCATACTTGTCATTGTTAATCCTCTATAAGCTGGCCATTACGGTCTCTGCCAGCCTCAGCGACCCACGACGTGTGTGTTTTGTGCAAGTGTGTACCTTTCTTGCCAATTTGCGGGCTTCCCAGTAAGGTTTGGAGTCATCCACAGCTCGACCTAACTTCTTCATCAGTTCATCCAGCTTCACTGTAGCTTCCACCAACACGTCACGAAACCTCTGACGGTAGTCCTGCACACAAAATTAACATATAAACATGTCAGGCCTTACGTGTACACTGAGCTGGTACCTGTCCAATAGTTAGCTTAACGCATCACTGTGTCTGAGAGCGGCCTCGTACATGGAAATGCAAAGCTGCATGTCTTCTTGTGGGAAATCTCTTAATCATAAGCCTCCCGTTGGGCCAGAGATGACTTCAAGGCTCTAAAGGATCTAGATTTCAGACCATCTCCTCTAACTCAAGTCTTCACTCATCCATTCCCAAACACAAGACCTCAATAAAGAAAATGATATAGTACCTAAACATTCATTAAATCATGTAAAAATGTATTGTTCTAATTTGGTACAAAATGCAAAGCTTTAGAGATGAAGGTATGAAGCTAGTTAACATGTCAGTCCCTCAGCATCACTAAGGCTTGTAGCTCACAGGCTTACAACCGTAGGCGACTAGATGGAGACATACAATTCAGAGAAAATGTGTGATTTTTTTCATGTGAAATCTCACAGAGTTGGTCATTACGAACAATTGCATGAATACACAACTGAAAATAATTTGCAGCATTCATGTGACGCTTCTGCTAATGACAGACAGAAATTGAGATCACTTGTAAATGTTTTGTGAAATACTAAAAACTCAAATACAATTTGTAAATTGTCACCAACAATCGAGGTACTAGTTTTAACCCTCCTGACCCCTGATGCCTCGAGGGTCATTTTGACCCAAGGGCAGCAAGAGAGTAAAACCAACTCCTGTCTCAAAGAGTGGCTCACACAAATGCTATTTATGAACCATCACTGTCAAACTGTCACTGAGGAATTAGAATATGGTATATTTGTAGTTTTCAAAATGAGTGTTTTTCTGGACTGTAAATGGACAGAGAATGAAGTAAACCTAAATGTTTTTGGTGTCAGATATTCAAGTGGGCAGGAGTAACACTGTGGAGAAAAACAGAAGAGGATTATTTGTTCTTGTCTGAGGCGACGCAGAGTGACGGATCCTGGAGAGTGGAGGGACCAAATGCAAGGACTGAGCCAATGGTGCCACTA